TGTAACTGAGATCAGCTGTAGGTTTAGTGAAATAATACTCACAGTTTGGAGGATCCTTTTGCAAACTTCCCCGTCTCTGCCTGATCTCAGTTGCACCAAACACTTCTTGTGTCTTCTGCTGAATCAGCTCATAGTACGCTTGTGGTATGAAGAAATCCTCACGGTTCTCCTTCACCAGGCTGTCTATTTTCTGAAAGAGTTCACTGATCTGAGTCGGGGATTCACAAGCGCTCCTCTGAAGAACATGTGATCGTCCTCCACACTTGTCCAGGATTTTCTCTGCGCTGTGAATGTGTTTTCTGATTGCTGGTTCCTCCACTCCTTCATCACAAGCAAACAGCACAATGGTGTGTTTCCAGACGCGCTCTGACAGTAACTCCATGTGCATCTCTGCTGCATTAATTTCACCAATAGAAGGTTCTTCAGAGAGAGTTTTCACTGGTATGACCAGAACCAGAGCATGAGGTCCTGGAGGACAAAGCAACACGCTTCTGATAATTTCTTCTTTTATGTTCTCTGGTGTTTGTTGTATTGAGTGTTCATGCCATCCTGGTGCTTCCACAACACTGATCCTCCTCCCTGCTTGTTCACTCTTATGTAAAGTACATAGACCATTTTTCTCTCCTGTCAGATTCTCGCCGGTTAGCATTGATTTTGCTACCTTATTCTTGTCAGCACCAGTGTTTCCGAAGAGCACAACTCTGAGCATGGACTGCATAGAGGAACCTATGTAATTAAAATCAAATTATGATTCCATAATGGTTTCAATCAAAATATTTCTTTGTTGGAGAAATAGAGAGAAGAATTCACTCACCCTGAGGAGATGTTAAGAATTTAGTACCCATGATCACATTATGTTTGGCTGGTCGAAGATGATTTTACAACATGTCCTTCTGCTTAAGAAAACAGGCAGTTTTCACTAAGTATTTTTCACTTAATATAGTCTATGGCTGTTTTAAAGCCACTGAACAATGCCTAATCACAGAAGACATCACAAACATCAGTTGCATGTGGCATTTTTTTTTTTTTAATGATTTGACAAAGTGTTGTTGATTTGAACATTATTAAATTGTTCAAATTAATTTAAAATTGCATAGTAGTGAAGGTACGCTTTTGATAGTTTATTAGCACTGTGTTCACCTTAAATGCATAACTCATTATGTGAAACACATTTTTAGCACTGAACATAGCATTTAGCATTGTACTATTATGATACTAATCTGAACCCTCTCACACATGAAATATATTTCCGATATATTCTTGAAAATGTATATTTTTCAAGAATATCTTGAAACAGTTTTTTTCAATTTTTAGTTTATAGACAAAGACATCATTTTAAAATATTGCATCAGCATTCTCCGGCTTAAGGTGTAACCTACCATTAACAAAAGCTTATGCAACAGCAGGATACACTTAAAAGCTTTATCTTTTTGTAAAAGCATTAACAGGAACATATAAAAGTACTTATCAAAATGTATACTTATACATATATAT